TATTTAGCTGTAATTTTCTTAGACAAGGTGGCATGAAAATGATATCACTGTAATCCCTAAAAACCAACAAGGAATGAGGTTTCAGAGTCACAGGGGACCTCCGGAGGAAAAACGTCAGGGGCAGAATTTACTAACTGTTGCTGTGCCAAGAGTATAGTCTCTGCTCACCTGGCTCTCTGCCATCATGGAGAACCATTATATTTGCATTAGTAATTATGGTTTTATCAGAGGAGGATATGTGTTTCCTTCAAGAGGTAGGTGTGAAATATTAGGTTGGAGCAAAAGTAATCGCTGCTTTTCCCATTACTTTATTTTTATTTTTTAATTTGTGTGTGTGTGTGTGTGTCTCTGTGTGTGTGTGTGTGTGATGGAGTCTCACTCTATCACCTAGACTGGAATGCAGTGGCTTGACCTTGGCTCACTGCAACCTCCTGGGTTCAAGCGATTCTCCTGCTTCAGCCTCTGGAGTTGCTGAGATTATAGGTATGCACCACGACATCTGGCTGATTTTTGTATTTTTAGTAGAGACAGGTTTTCTCCATGTTTGAACATCACAGGTAATGTTGTACTCAAAGAATAATATTAATGATATGTATTGAAGTGAGTCAGTAAGAAAGATGACTTAGGAGTGAATTCACCATGGTTGGCTGCAGTAGCTCACACCTGTAATCCCAGCACTTTGGGAGGCTGAGGCAGGAGGATCGCTTGAGCCTAGCAGTTTGTGATACCTGCCTGGGCAACATATCAAGACCCCATCTCCACACACACACACAATTTAATTAGCTGGATGTGGTGGCACTGCCTATAATCCCACAATTTGGGAAACTGAGATGGGAGGATCACTTGAGGCCAGGAGTTTGAGGTCAGCCAGGGCAACATAGTGAAACCCCATCTCTATTTAAAAAGAAAAAGATTATGGACAACCATCACTGTGTTTTGTAATATGTTAATGAGAGATCCTTTAAATATTTAGATCCCTATAATGTCAATGTGGGAAAGCAAAGAAGTGTGTGAAAACTCTTAACCAAATCTTCTGTTTCCTATAATATACAACACTGGCCTTGTTATTTGGAATTCACTTGAGTCAGATCCTTATTTATTTATTTATTATTTTGAAGACGTGGAGTCTTGTTCTGTCACCCAGGTTAAAGGGCAGTGGTGTGATTATGGCTCACTGCAGCCTCAAACTCCTAGGCTCAAGTGACTCTGCCACTTTGACCTCCCAAGTATGTTGGGATTACTGGTGCATGCTACCATGTCTACTGTAGGCTGGAGTGCAACGGTGTGATCTTGTTCACTGCAATGTCTGCTCCCCAGGTTCAATTCAAGCAATTCTCCTGCCTCAGCCTCCTTAGTAGCTGCGATTACAGATGCTTGCCACTACGCCCAGCTAATTTTTGTATTTTTAGTAGAGATGGGATTTCCCCATGTTGGCCAGGCAGGTCTGGAACTCCTGACCTCAGGTGATCCACCCATCTTGGCCTCCCAAAGTGCTGGAATTACAGGTGTGAGCCACTGAGCTCAGACAAGAAGATGTTATATATATACACACACACAAACACACACTATGGAATACTATGCAGCTGTAAAAAAGAATGAAATAATACATTTTGCAGCAACAGGGATTGAAGTAGAGGCCATTATCTTAAGTAAAATTACTCAGAAACAGAAGATCTGCACTTGAACCTTCTCAATATATAAAAATGAAAAAATAAAAAATAAAATGAGAACAAAAAAGATTTTATATCAGCATATATAGAAATATTTTATGTATCATTTATGCAAAATATATTATATGTCATATATTATATATGCATACTTAGGTACACATACATATACACAAGTATATAACATATCTAACTCAGTATATATAACATATAGTGGATATATGTACACTATATAAACACACATACATACACAAACACACACATACAGTATACATGCTTAAAGAGTGTTCAGCTCCCTTCAGAGATGGTAGATTTTTTTTTTTTTTTTCAGTCAGGATCTCATTCTCTTGCCCAGGCTGGAGGGCAGTGGTGCAGTCATAGCTCACTGCAGCCTCGACCTCCTGGGCTCAAGGCATCCTTGTGCCTTTGCCTCTGTGCTGGGATTATAGGTGTGCACCACCACACCTGGCTAGTTAAAAAACTTATTTTTGATAGAGATGGGAGGTGTGTTCCAATGTTGCCCAGACTGGTCTCAAACCCCAGTGTCTCCCAAAGTGCTGAGATCACAGGTGTGAGCCTCTGCGCTCAGCCAGATGGTACAATTTTGATTCCTCTCATATTTAACAACACCTGCACCTATCATTGTATTGAATTTATAGCTCATTCTGGTTTAGGGTCAGGGACTTATTCCTTGGGAATGGCAGAGTTCAGCATTTCCTGACTCCACTGCAAATTAATGCCACTTCATTAAGGCAATAATGACCCTTTCATGCCTAACTCACAGGGATTTTCCTTTTTTGTCTCTTAAGTAATAGGCTGTGGTTTCTCAAGGATTTTTATGATCCTTCCAGATGAAAGCTGCTTTGTCAAGCAAGGTGTTGAGAAACGTGCAGGGTCTGTTTCTAAGAAGAGGTTGCTATGTGTTCAAGTTCAGAGTGGGATCGGTGGAGTCAGACTAACAAGCTGCCCAAACAGAGTTTGACGCTGCAAATCTGCGCCACGTTCTTCTTCCTGCGCGCAATCTGCAGGCAAAGACATCTGCTTAATTGGGTGTGAAACCCGGGCCTTGATTAAAAGGACTTTATAAGGCCGCAGCCTTGCATTTCCAAGGTCAGGCCCTAGTGGAGAGGGTGCGCGTTCCGCGGGGTGACACGAACTTTTCCTGAGTGCGCGTTCCTGGCTGGCCCTTAACCCCTCAGCCAGGCAGGGCTTGGCAGGGCCGTTTCCTGTCCTAACCAGGGTCAAGGGATTGCACAGCTTGCTGGTGAAGCTTGCTTGGCAGGGCCGTGACTTGTCCTAACCAGGTTCAGGGAATGGCGGGGGCCTGCTGGTGTCGCACATGTTTTGCATTCCAGCTCAGGATTTTGCAGAGCATAGAGAGCGGTGTCACCCCTGGGGGGATATGCCACCCACAAAATGCAGGTGGAGGCTGGGGCGAGGCTGGCAGCTAGGGGCCAGAAATCCAAAGCCTGAACCGAGTTCAAACTTCCTGACTCCCACTCACTGTTAGCTGCACAAGGATGGCTCGGCCTGGTCCCCTTAAAAATGTGTCCATTCTGACTTACAGGCTGCTTTGCCTCTCGGAAGGCCCCCCTGACCTGCGGACTGAGGGTCTGGAGACCCTTCCAGTCTCAGAATCGCTGAGATCCCTCAAAACAAAAGACGTTTGCAGTTTGACCCCTTGTTGCTCAAAGTGTAGTCGGCGAAACGGCAGCCTGGGCTGCCTTGGTAGCGGGTCAGGGGCGCAGTGTCCAGGCCATGTCAGGCCTGCAAGTTAAGAAGTGTCTGCATTTCCCTGGGGAAAGTGGTGACCAAATGTCTAGCTATATTTGCATTTCAAATCCACACGGATAGAGTTTTTAAATATAAGTATGTTCTACTATTGTCTGAGCCACACTTAAGCCAGGAAAAATAAAAAACAACTTTGCGTTTCTGAAATTGAAATGCGTCTGCACAATTCTTTTTTTTTTTTTTTTAATACTTTTAAGTTCTAGGGTACATGTGCATAACGTGCAGGTTTGTTACATATGTATACTTGTGCCATGTTGGTGTGCTGCACCCATCAACTCCTCAGCACCCATCAACTCGTCATTTACATCAGGTGTAACTCCCAATGCAATCTCTCCCCCCTCTCCCCTTCCCGTGATAGGCCCCGGTGTGTGATGTTCCCCTTCCCGAGTCCAGGTGATCTCATTGTTCAGTTCCCACCTATGAGTGAGAACATGCGGTGTTTGGTTTTCTGTTCTTGCGATAGTTTGCTGAAACTTAATTGGTCACTGTTTGAAACGCTCCAGCGACAACCCGATAAAGAATTGTGCAGTGAGACCATCCTGGCTAACCCGGTGAAACCCCGTCTCTCCTAAAAAAATACAAAAAACTAGCCGGGCGAGGTGGCGGGCGCCGGTAGTCCCAGCTACTCTGGAGGCTGAGGCAGGAGAATGGCGTGAACCTGGGAGGCAGAGCTTGCAGTGAGCTGAGATCCGGCCACTGCACTCCAGCCCAGACGACAAAGCGAGACTCCGTCTCAAAAAAAAAAAAAAAAAAAAAAAAAAAAAAAAAAAAAAAAAAAAGAATTGTGCAGTGAACAGGCGTCTGCACAAGTCTTTATCGGGTTGTCGCTGGAGCGTTTCAAACAGTGACCAATTAAATTTCACGCGCTACATTTGTTCGGGAGATCTCTCAAATCTGTCTCTCCTGAGTTATTTAATGAAATGTTTATTTGGAAAGAATTCTTGATCCACAGGAAGCTGCAAAGAAACGCACCGGGTCGCGCCCACCCTTCCTCTCCCCTTCCAATTAGAAATCTGGAATCACCAGGCCTATAGCGACACCAGGCCGCTGACCTTGTCCCCCAGACCCAGCAGCCCCTCTCGGGTATCCGCGCGCAGCTCGCGTCTTGAGTAGCCAGATTAATCCGAGTCCCACTCCTCACCAAACGCCAATTGCAGGTTTTATTTGTGAACTTCACTTTTGCTGAGCAATGCGCTCCCAGTCCCCGGGCCCTCCAGCCTCCCCCCTTTCGCCTCCCGCCTCCCCATCTTCTGGGCTTGGGTGCAGCGACGCGGATGACCGGCCAGTGCGTCCCCAGGGAGAAGTCAGCCTGGGTCCCACCCCAGGGTCACCCCGGGCGCGGAGGGGGCGTGGGCACCTCCCCAGAGCCGCCCCTGCCCTAGACGGCTGGAGTCGCCCGCACGCCCACGTCTCCGGCTACTGAGATGGGTAGCGGCGGCTGCGGAGCCTGCGCGAAGGTGACGCCCCTAGCCCCGCGGCTCGGTGGGGGCGGGGAGAGGCGTGACCACGCCCAGGCTGCTTCTGCCCGCCCCATCAGCGCGTACGCGGCTACCTAGGTGGAGCAGGCGGCTGGCGCGAGACCAGGAATACTCAGGACCCCCTGGCTCGCGCACCCAGAGCCAGGGCCGCGGCCCCCGCCTTTCCCGCAGCCTTCTGGCATTCGGTGCCGGCCCCGCGAGGCCAGCGGCTGCTCGCTCCGGGGTCGTTGCTGTTTGTGCAGTGAGCGCCGCCCCACCATTGTCCCGGTCGCTCTGTCAACAGCGCCGGGCCGCGCACCAGGAGGCTAGGGCGCGCATGGGGAGCCTGCGTTGATGCTGTCGCCGCGCGGCCCTCCTAGGCTGCGTCCCGGGAAGCCCGGCTACCCGAGCACTCCGGCCTGGCTCGGCGTCCCGGACCTGAGTGCGTTCCCATGGAGGCGCGCGGGCTAGGCCAGGAGGCCGCAGCGGCGAACATCGCCCGAGAGGTGGCGGAGGAGACCCCCGACTGGGTGCCCGCGCTCTGCCCTAGCTCCGAGGCGCGGTCGCTGGAGCCGCCTGCCTACCGCCTGCAGGACTTCGACACGCTGGTCACCGTGGGTGAGCGAGTGCGCGCGGAGACTTGGCCCATAAGGGCGCGCGGCGCGGCCGGGACGCTATAGTCAGACAAAGGGCCCCGGGTGCTGGCCTCCTGGGTAGGGCCCTACCCCGCCGCTCTGGCTCAGGGTCCCCGCGCGGGGTTGCCCCTGCCACTGGGTCTCCTAGAGGGCCACTCAGAGAACTGGAGCGTACCCACACCCCCAGCCCCGGCGAGTCCCCCAGACCGGCCTGGCCGGGTGCGTTCCCTGGAACACCGACGGCTCCTGTCTGAGACCACCCTGCATCCACCGCACACACAGCAGTCTGGGGCTGGGTGGTCCGACGTCACCAAACTTCCTGTGGGTCCCCTCGCCTCGGCAACCTCGTGCGCCTCCCATACGGCGGCTCCAGGGTCTCGGGCGCGAGTTCTGAAGGCCCCTGCGGGTCTCCTCCAGGCCAGCCTCCCTGTTTGCCTAGTGGCAGGGTCCTCGGCGGGGAGTGTACAGGTTTCTCCACGGGCTGCGGGAGCAACTGGGCTCCAGGGAACAGGTATTCCGTGGCTTTGTGGGGATGGGGACGGCGGAGTTGGGAAAGGATCCTAACATGTCCTGACACTGCCTGTGCTTTTCGTCTTGTTCGTCTGAAGTGGATAATTATTGTATTGGGCGCTTTCTTCGTTTCCTTTGTCCTCTGTCTTTGAACTTAACCCCGAATGGGCAGCTTGACAGAGATTTCGAGTTCTCGGTGCGCTTGGATCCGGACACGCGCTGGTTTATGGGACAGCCCTGAGTGGGTCAGAATATCCCAACCGAACATGGGAGCTGAGTTTAAACAGTTGTCACCAGCCCGCCTGTGCCTCTTAGGGACTCTGTGTGGCTAAGTGGGGTGTTGGTTGTCAAGAAAATAAACGGGAGAACAGAGGGGGTGTCCTGGGTGTGTTGATGAGGCGGGGGCTCTCAGGCCCTCTAACTCCTGTTTGTCCTCACATTTTGGAAAGGAGGAAGCTGGGCTGGGAATCCCAAGGGCTCAAGGTCATACTTTATGAAGACCCGCGGGCATAGCCAGTGGGCCTTCAGAACCGCTGAGGAAGAGGGGACTTAGCTTCCTTCAGTGAGTTCTTTGCCACTTAGACCTTGAAGGAAGGGCCCACGAATAAAGCCTGAGTTTGGAAAGACAGTGTGGGACGAGGCTCTCTCTCTCGCTCCCTCCCTCCTCCTATCTCATTCTCTATCTCTTTCTCTGTTTTTCTTCTCTCTCCCTTTCTGTGACCCTGTTCGTGTATTTGCATTTCTCCTCCTCTGTCTATGCCTCTCTCCCTGTCCCCTTACTGTCTTGGTCTCTCTGCTCTGTTTCTGACTCCCTCCCTTCTCTCTTTCTGCTTTCCCTCTTCTCCTGGTCCTCCCCCCCGAAGGCTGTCGTGATCTAATCTTAATGCTGTGTGTGTTTTGCGGGGAGGAAGGGTGGGGCAGGAACCCTGACTGCTTCAGCTGCCACAATCGGTGGAAATACAACTCGACAATGGAAAATTGATGAGATCCAGCCTTTCCTTGGCACTCAGCACCAGAGTTTGTCATTCTTTGGGGCACCCACATGGGTCTCTTGGGAAGGAAGGGTGGAGCTGGAGCTGGAGGCCGGGGCAGAGAGCAGGAAGCGGGCCCCAGGGCGGCAGAGGTGAGGAGCTCTGGTGTGACAGGGGGCCACTCAGTTTGACATCAAGTTAGCTTAGGGTGCCCAGCGGGTAACCTCATTTTAAAAAATAGAGTGTCATTTCCTCTGGGGACCAAGCTGGCTGGGTGGGGAGGTCAGCTGTTTTTTTTTCAGTCCAGTCAGTGCTCTCTTAATGAGGATGATGCTCTTTTCTCAAGTATAACTTCCCGTGGGCTCCAAGGGTGTGACAGGAGAGGTAGGTATCCCATATTCATTGGACAGCAGGGGACCAGGACCCAGGCGGTGTGTGTGTGTGTGTGTGTGTGTGTGTGTGTGTGTGTGTGTGTCTGGAACACTCTCTCATGACAGCTTCACAGCTACCAAAGCTGTGACATTAACTGCAGCATTTTATCCGAGCCCTTTTCTTTATTGTTGATTAAAGAGCAGTCTAAGTGTGATTCACCTAAAAGAATTAGAATAAATTCTAAAATATACTAAGCGTTGTAGAGCCTTCACGATTGTATCTCTGAGCCACAATCTACAGCAGCTTTGGACTCTTTTCCAAGGCTTGATGAAGAGTGAGGAACGAGCTCGAGTCTCAGTCTGGAGTTGACACCCAGTCTGGCTGGGTGTGACCTCTCTTCATCCTAGGCTGTCCCTGCAGGAACATAAGTTTGCTTTTCAGTGCTCTTTTCCACTCATTCCTAATTCTCTCAGGCCCCAAACAAGCACCCCCAGGAGTACTGAACTTTTTGGGGGGTGGGCGGAGGGGATCTATATGCAGATTGCCAGTTGAACAATCCTATTTTCTATGACTTAAAGCCAATCACAGGCTGGGTGTGGTGGCTCTTGCCTGTAGTCCCAGCACTTTGGGAGGCCGAGGCAGGCAGATCTCTTGCACTCAGGAGTTCCAGACCAGCCAGGCCAACATGGCAAAACCCTGTCTCTACTGAGAAAATATAAAAATCAGCCGGGCGTGGTGGGAGGTGCCTGTAATCCCTGCTTCACAGGAGGCTGAGGCAAAGGAATTGCTTGCACCCAAAAGGCAGAGGTTGCAGTGAGCCAAGATCACACCGCTGCACTCCAGCCTGGGTGGCGGAGGGAAAAAGAAAAGAAAGTGTCAGTGTCCTAGATTGACCAGTTTCCTCCAGTTCAGGTAGTTAGGAAAAAGAGTGCAGTTTGCACTTGTGAAAAATCTGATAATGGATTTTTTTTTCTTCTTTGTGCATAAAGGGATTCTGTAGTACGTCTTGTTTAAAGGCTGATTTAATAGTTTTAGGAACTTTGTATCAGAACAGCCATACTACTCCTTAGAGAAAAAAATGGGTTTCAATCTGGTTCTTCACATTTCTGTTCATATAACCAAGCTGTGCTTATTTCTATGAGGGAAAACAATTGTGCTTTAAAAAAGGAAAATCTGGACCGGGTACAGTGGTACGTGCCTGTAGTCCCCGCTATTTGGGAGGTTGTGGTGGGAGGATGGCTTGAGGCCATGAGTTCCAGACTAGCCTAGGCAATACAGAGCGACCCTCATCTCTTAAAAAAAATAGTAATAATAGCTAGTTGGGCATGTTGGTGCGTACCTGTACTCTTAGTCACCTGGGAAGTTGAGGCAAGAGGATCACTTGAGCCCAGGAGGTCAAGGCTGCAGTCAACCATAGTCATGTTACTCTACTTCATCCTGGGTGATAGAGTGAGATCCTCTGTCTAAAAAATGAAACAAAATCAAATAAATATATGTTATGGAAGTGAAAAACTTACACTACATAGAGAGGATGACTCTCTGTGCAGCAGTCTACCAGCCTTATTTTATCAATCTTCCCACTTAAAATGATTACTTGAGAATTACTTTCTCTATATATCAGATAAAAAATACTTAGGTGTGGATGGGCATGATGGCTCATGCCTGTAATCCCAGCACTTTGGGAGGCTGAGGCAGATGGATCATGAGGTCAGGAGATTAAGACCATCCCAACCAGGGAGTCTGAGGTTACAATGAGCCGAAATCACACCACCACATTTCAGCTTGGGTGACAGAGCAAGACTCCATCTCAACAACAACAACAACAACAACAACAACAACAACAACAAAACTCAAAAAGCTTAGGTTTTTTCCCGAAAGTGTTTTTATTGAATCATTTGGCATCTACGACCCAGTGCTTGTTTCTGTGGGCACCCCGAGTGTTAACCTGTCAGGAAGGAGGTAATTCAGCAGGTAAACCGGTGGCCAGGCTTTGGGTCCACATTTCGTTTTCCTTTGCTCAACCTAGTTCGCATTTGCTTATTTAAAAAAAAGGGAAGTAATAACAGAACCTATCCTACATGGTTACTGTGAGGAAGACTTCAAAGTTCCTAGACCAATATTAAAAATGTGTGTATTTTGAAATACAGACTTCATAGGAGATTTCAAAAACAGTACCTGGAGTCTCACGGACCTTTCAGCCAGCTTCGCCATAGTGACGTCTTCATATCTGTGGGACAATATCAGAACCATGTCATCGATGTTGGTATATCCCTATTAAAGAGAACACATACCTCATTCAACTTTTTTTTTTTTTTTTTTTTGAGACAGGATCTCACTCTGTTGGCCAGTCTGGAGGACAGTGGTGTGATCTCAGCTCACTCCAGCCTTGAATTCCTGGGCTCAAGTGATCCTCTCAACTCAGCCTCCCGAGTAGCTGGAACTAAAGGCATGCACCATACCCGGCTAATTTTTGTATGTTTTGTAGAGGCAGAGTCTTGTTATGTTGCCAAGTCTTGATCTCCTGGTGTCTCAAGCAATCTTCCCACTTCAGCCTCCCAAAGTACTGGGATTGTATACAAGCATGAGCCATCGTGCCCGGCTTGTTCAGCCTTTGTTAGTTTTCAGAAGGTGCCCATTTGTGTTTGCAAGTGTGTGTATAGAGTTCTGTGCAGTTTTACCCAGTGTGTGGATTTGGGCAGCTACCACCCTCCAAACCATGGTGCAGAATGAATTCCCTCACCACAGACTACTTGGTCTTCCTCAACACATTTTTTTTTTTTAACTTTCACGTGGTATACTATCTGAAAATACTGTATATTTTTAAGAGCTAGTAGATCTTCATAATTAATGATACATGGTTCTGAAATCTGAAGTGTTTAATACTGGTAGTTTTTAATCCCGTCCTTGGTTTTTAGAAATAAAGCTTGGAGCTGTAAGGAAAACGAGCCCTTAGACAAAGGATTTCTCAGCAAAACAAATTTACTGCTGCACATGAGGGTGCCCTCCCATATGGCTGGTTGCCCCAAGAGCACCCCGAACAAAGGAGAGTAGAAGTTTTTATTCGTAAGGCAATTCCTGTCCCTATGTCCTTTCCCCGTTGGCTGGGGTCAGACTGCACAATCTAAACTAG